GCCGGTGCGCCGCGGGCGGTGGGCCCACGCGCGGTGGCGCTCCCCCCCGAGCCCTGCGGCGCGGTGCTGGGCTTGCCCTTTGCTTCCTCGCCGCGTCTGTGTGCTGTGTCCCGTGGCTGCGCGCAGACCGCCAGAGCGGAAGAGCTCTTTCTGTGGGTTCGCGCGTAGAGCAGCTGCCCTGAGGAGCCGCAAACCTGGGCAGGGCAGAGTCACCTGGCAGTACGGATGTGGCACAGGAGGAAGTATCAGGCGTATGTGTGTCCTCCGGCACTGTGTTCTCGTAACTGCTAGGTTAAAATTTTACCTCGTAAGCAACATGGAAGAACGACTTTTCAGAGTGAGGCCTAAAATGATCCTCTGTCCTTCTCTCGAAATAGTTAAATGTCTGTTTCCTTAGAACTTGATTGTGGTATGTCTTTTTTTTCTTAATTGGATGATCCGTTTAGTCAAATTGTGGAGATAGCGGTCACATGATTTTGTCAGTGAGAAAGACTGATGACCGTTAGTTTGATTCTTAAAGATAGTTAGGCAGGGAGAAACATCCACAAATGAAACTTTTATTTGTTTTTGTTTTTTGTTTTTTTCCGGTACCGGGAATCGAACTCAAGACGTCGTGCTTGCCAGGCAGGTACTGTGCCGCTGAGCTAAATCCCCAGCCCCACACAAATGAAACTTTTAAACAGAGCCTGTCATCTGAGCTCTGGGGAGGCTGAGGAGGATTGCCGCAAATTCGAGGCCAGCCTGGACTGTAAAGAGAGTTCAAGGCCAGCCTGAACTATGTAATGAAACCCTGTCTCGAAAAGATTGAAAAAACAAAGCAAAAAAACCCTAGTAGGTTGCTATGTTCCACAGACATTCTAGAACATCTATGACGACCTTCCCAGAGTACGCATTTGATGAGTTGAAGTTGAGTGGTTCAGTGTTAGTTGTTTTCTCCAAAACTTTGGTACAAAGTAGGGAAATTCTTTTGTAAATTTTCCAGAATATTTAATCATCCTAGATGCGTTGCTTTTTTTTTTTTTTAATTAAAATACATCCTTGAAATAATCATTGTAGTTGTACAGTGATTTCAGCCCTCTGTATATTACTTAGGTTGGGGGATAGGTAATAGCTAATGGGTTTTGGATCACTTGAACCTTTAGGTCATTGACTAGAGTTTGCTCTAGTGATGATACATTACTACTTTATTATCATCTGGTGGTTTCTGTACAATTGGTATAGTTGTTATGCTTTAAAATTCTATTCTTGGAACTTATTTTTCCTATTCTTGGAACTTATTTTTCAGGGAGACAGTAAGGGTAGGAAAAACCACCTTCTAATCCTAGCTTTTACCATGTGACTTAAAAACCTAAATGGGTAGTTTCCTGTTCTGAGCCTGACTTACTTGAAAATAGTAATACCCACTTCAATGGTAAAGAACATTTGTGTAATGTGCAGTAAATTTAGCATTGCTTTGAGAGTCTGGAACATTTGGAGTCTAGCTGTTGTGTGAGCTCCTGAGACAATTCTCCAGATTCTTTTTCATATGTATGATACAAAGAGCTGGATTATCTAATATTTGCTATCTCAGTTTTAAGATTCACTAGTCTGAATTTAGTAGGTTGTTTTAGCATGTTTATAGAGTGACAGGAATATAGGGACTCATAATTTGGAGGCCTAGTTATCAGTCCCAGTAGAGAAAAAAGCTACATTGATATGTATGGTTCATATAATTCTAAGCTAAATTCTCAAAGCAGTGTCCAGGTACTCACCTTTCTGTGTGGATCATTACATCATAGTAGTAAAAGACTGGCAGTATATGAGACACTAATTGAAAAATGAGGATGTAAAACCAGTTAGAATTATGGAAAATAGAGTGAGGCAAGTAATGCTGCCTTTGTTTTATTGTAGGAATTTTTCTAGCAAAATACATGGTGTTTTCATCAGTCTTGCATGGACGTTAGTGGATTATTATTTTGTGATTTTTGTAAAAAGAATTAAAAATAAGGTTACACTTTATCTTCTGCTATGGAATAAATACCAACCTTAAAGCGTGGATATCTTTTTTCATTAAAAATAACTTGGAATGGGAATCAGAAACCCTTGCTTCTTTTTCTTGTCACAGCGGTTATAGGGCAGTTATTGAAGCAAAAACCTCTTTAATTTTGTGAAGTTTAGTGGCAGTAATACGGGCTCCAGTGTAGCTGAGTGTCGTGCTTTTGCTTAGCATGCTCAAAGCCCTGGACTCGATCCCAGTGTTGAAAAAAAAAAGTGAAATAATAGGTGAAAGTTCAGGTAAATATAAATATTTTATTTACAGTTTAGGCATTATTGTGTTTTTTCTTTATTAGCACTAAGAATTGAACCCAAGACTCTTGTGCATACTTGGTAAGTGCACTACTGTATCTTTGAGCTACATTCCCAGCCTTCCTCAACCCTGCTGGTTTTATTTATTTTTTACGCTCTAAACAAAATCTTGTGTATTTTAAAAAAGTAAAATAGTTTATGGAGATAGCTGAAAAGGTAGGTTGAATTCAGAGAATGCCATTTAAATAGTGGGGATTTTTTGTTGGAAAAAGATGAGGAAACATTGAAGGATTTTTAGGGGGCGCAGAGTTGCTCAATTCTAAGCAAAGTTAAACTGTTTTCTTAGCTTGGATTAAGGACGCAAAGGAACACAGATGGGTTTGCCTTTTTATAATCTTTATACTTCTTAGGTGGAGTTAACCTGGAGAATCATGTTCGGGGTTTTAGAACATTCTTTGAAGGGTGGATTTTTCCTTCTCTGCCATGTTATTAAGCCATATTAATAATATGGCATATTACATTAAGCTGGTAGATTGTTGCATTAATTTAAAATTACAAATTAATGACTGCAGGTAATTACTGAGCAGATGTTATTCACTGAGTCAGGCCCTGTGGTGAAAGCTGCATATAGGGTATAGTTTTAATTCTCCCACAAGCCCTTCCCTGAGAGTACTACCCCCATTTAAACAACCTGCTCCCAGCCACTCAGATGCTTTGAAGAGACAAGGTTGGTGTTCTCTCTCTGTCTGATTCCAAAGACGTTTCTTCCCACCAAAACACATGAAAAGCAAATACATTGCATTCCACTGAATTCAAGGTACAGTGAGGAAAATTTTCAAAACTACCCATTCAATGGCCATATTTTGGAACTTCTTTAATACGTTTAAATGAAAATATTAAGGACTAATAAGAAAGATCCAAGATGTTTTTCTAAGCATGATCACTTAATGGACAGTACCAGTTATTGCAAAAACAGAGAACCGTGTACTCTAAATTTCTACATAACTTTGCCATTGGCTTTGAAAATAACAAGGGGAAGATATCTCTAAAGGACTGAAGTAAATGTGCCCATCAAAAATATTAATGAGGGCTGGGGATTTAGCTCAGCGGCAAAAGCGCCTGCCTGGCAAGCGCAAGGTTGTGAGTTCGGTTCCCGGTACCAGAGAAAAACCAAAAAAAAAAAAAAAAAAAAAAAAAATTAATGAAGCAGGGCATCAAAAATATTAATGATGCATACTTGTAATCCCAGCACTCTGGGAAGCTGTGGCAAGAGGATTGCAAGTTCAAGCCCAACCTGGGCAATTTAATGACTTAGTAAGTCTCTGTCTCAAAATATGAAAAAGGATTGGGGATATAGCTCAGTGCAAAGGGCCTGAGTTCAATCCCTAGCACCATTTAAAAAAAAAATAGTCCTGGGTTGGAATTCTAGCTCAGTGGTAGAATCCAAATTCAGCCCATGAGAGGACCCGGGTTCAGTCTGCAACACCCCTCAAAATTGATGAATCCTGTTATTACCAAGTCAGTTTTCTCTGTTTTTTTTTGTTTTGTTTTTTTGCTTTTTTTGAGACAGGGTCTTGCTACGCAGTTCAGGTTGGCCTTGAGCTTACTTTGTAGCCCAGGCTGGTCTCGAACTCACAGCGATCCTCCTGCCTCAGCTTCCGGAGTGCGTATGCAGGCAGGGCTTTGAGGCACATGACTTCAGCTCTTGCATGCTGAGAAGAGAAATGGTATGCTGGCTATTTTATCTTATCTTTGTCTTAGTCTTGAGCTCTTTGAAGAGTTGTTTCATGATACTGACCTTATCTATTTGGTCATATGTTTCCACCAGCTTTACTAGTTTCTCTTCCACCAAAGGTGTTGGAGACATAGTTGATAAGTTTGTTTGTTTGTTTTTGGTATCGGGAATGAAACTTAAGACCTTGTGCTTGCCAGGCGGGCGCTTATGCCACTGAGCTATAGCCATGGCCCGATAAGTTTGTTTAAAAGCCTTAGCAATACCATTTTATGATACTTCTAAAAACAAGAAAGGTTACTTGGGATGACTCAGTTTCTTTATAAAATAATGTATTTGCACTAGCACTGCTGTTGATTGTACCCATTTGTGTTAAGGTAGTGTTATATATTACCAGAGAATTAATGATAGGATTATCTGGACAGTTGAAATGGTTCCATTTCCCATTGTCTTCTTTAAATATAGACATAAGAACTTTTATAAGTGGTCTCATTAATGTTTTAAAATACTACATAGCTATAATGTATTTATTGGTAACATATAATTAGTGCATTCCTCCTAGATTTAGGTGGACTAGCCACGGGTAATTTCAGGTTTAGGGGATTTAGCTCAGCGGCGCAGCACCTGCCCGGCAAGCCCAAGGTCGTGAGTTCGATCCCCGGTACCGGAA